GTGTGTGTGTGTGTGTGTGTGTGTGTGTGTGTGTGTGTGTGTGTCTGTGTGTGTGTGTGTGTCTTTTTGTCTCTGTGTGACTCTGTGTCTCTGAGTCTCTGTGTCTCTGTGTCTCTGTCTGCGTGTGTGTCTGTGTCTGTGTGTGTCTGTGTGTCTCTGTGTCTCTGTGTCTCTGTGTCTGTGTGTGTCTGTGTGTGTCTGTGTTTCTTTGTGTGTCTCTGTGTGTGTGTGTGTCTGTGTGTGTCTGTGTGTGTCTGTGTGTGTCTGTGTGTGTCTGTGTGTGTCTGTGTGTGTCTGTGTGTGTCTGTGTGTGTCTGTGTGTGTCTGTGTGTGTCTCTGTGTGTCTCTGTGTGTCTCTGTGTGTCTCTGTGTGTCTCTGTGTGTCTCTGTGTGTCTCTGTGTGTCTCTGTGTGTCTCTGTGTGTCTATGTGTGTCTCTGTGTGTCTATGTGTGTCTCTGTGTGTCTCTGTGTGTCTCTGTGTGTCTCTGTGTGTCTCTGTGTGTCTCTGTGTGTCTCTGTGTGTCTCTGTGTGTCTCTGTGTGTCTCTGTGTGTCTCTGTGTGTCTCTGTGTGTCTCTGTGTGTCTCTGTGTGTCTCCGTGTGTCTCTGTGTGTCTCTGTGTGTCCGTGTGTGTCCGTGTGTGTCCGTGTGTGTCCGTGTGTGTCGTGTGTGTCCGTGTGTCTCCGTGTGTCTCCGTGTGTGTCCGTGTGTGTCCGTGTGTGTCCGTGTGTGTCCATGTGTGTGTGCGTGTCCGTGTGTGTCCGTGTGTGTCCTGTGTGTGTGTGTCCGTGTGTGTCCGTGTGTGTCCGTGTGTGTGTGTGTGTGTCCGTGTGTGTCCGTGTGCGTCCGTGTGTGTCTGTGTGTGTCTGTGTGTGTGTGTGTCTGGGTGTGTCTGTGTGTGTCCGTGTGTGTCTGCGTGTATATGTGTGTGTCTGTGCGTGCCTGTGCGTGTCCGTGTGTATACGTGTGTGTGTCTGTGCGTGTCTGTGCGTGTCTGTGTGTGTGTCTGTGTGTGTCTGTGTGTGTCTGTGTGTGTCTGTGGTGTGTCTGTGTGTGTCTGTGTGTGTCTGTGTGTGTCTGTGTTTGTCTGTGTGTGTCTGTGTGTTTGTGTCTGTCTGTGTGTCTGTTCTGGTGTGTGTGTGGTCCGTTGGTGTCCGTGATGTGTCTGTGTGTGTCTGTGGTGTGTGTCTGTGTGTGGTCTGTGCGTGTCTGTGTGTGTGTGTGGGTCTGTGTGTGTGTGCCCGTGTGTGTCTGTGTGTGTCTCTGTGTGTGTGTGTCTGTGTGTGTGTGTCTGTGTGTGTGTGTCTGTGTGTGTCTGTGTCTGTGTGTGTGTCTGTGTGTGTGTGTGTGTGTGTGTGTGTGTGTCTGTGTGTGTGTCTGTGTGTGTGTGTCTGTGTGTGTGTCTGTGTGTGTCTGTGTGTGTGTCTGAATGTGTCTGTGTGTGTCTGTGTGTGTCTGTGTGTGCCTGAGTGTGTCTGTTTGTGTGTGTGTCTGTGTGTGTGTGTGTCTGTGTGTGTCTGTGTCTGTGTGTGTCTGTGTGTGTCTCTGTGTGTGTCTCTGTGTGTGTGTCTCTGTGTTTGTGTCTGTGTGTGTGTGTCTCTGTGTGTGCCTCTGTGTGTGTCTGTGTGTGTGTCTGTGTGTGTGTCACTGTGTGTGTCTTTGTGTGTGTCTCTGTGTGTGTGTCTGTGTGTGTCTCTGTGTGTGTCCGTTGTGCATTGTATTTGCTGGGGTCGGAGACCCCCACGTGCAGGAGTTAGTTTAGCATGACAGGACAGGAGCTATGTTCGTAGGTCCTCTTGGCTCGCGAGGAACCAATAGCATCATCAATCCAGCTACATGGTAGCGGAGCTCGGTTCCCACGCCACGGGAGCTGAGCTCACGCGCCACGCGACTTTCCCGCCCGAGAGGGCTGCTGGTCAGCAGCGATGGCGGCGATCGAGGTGGTCGACGTGCGGACCAGCATGCGGCTGCAGCGGTTCGACGGCACGGACGAGAAGTGGGGAGACTGGAGTCTCCGATTCGAGGCCTACACCGCGCTGCTCGGCTTCGAGGAGTTCATGGCTGCGGCGGGCCAGAGGCAGGACCCGCTACTGAACGACCAGCTCGACGAGCACGCGAGACAGGTCAGCTAACGGTTGTGGCACCTGCTGATCACGTATTGTGAGGGTAAGGCGATGGGAGTGGTCAAGCTCTCGCGCAAGAACAGTCTCGAGGCGTGGCGCCAGCTTAAGAATGAGTACGAAAGTCGTTCAGGGAATCGCTGGACGGCGATGCTGCGGTTCATCCTGAACCCGCGGGACAAGTGGGCCAAAGATCGCGAGGCGGGCATCGACTTCTTTAAGTCGCTCGCCGCCTGGGAGGCGATTGTGGCCGAGCACGTGGACCAGAGCGGCGAAGCCGTTTCTGAACATGTCAGGGCGAGCGTGCTGCTGGGGCACGCGCCAGACCCATATCGTGAGATGCTCCGACAGGCCCCAGAGGAGGTGAAGCTCACGTTCTCCGCAGCTCGCAGTCACATCAGGGGCTACTACAGCGTCCCAGACGTGGGCGGGGTCGTCCCGGCGCAGGTGGATGCAGTCCGTGCCCAGCCGCCCAATGGCAAAGCCAACGGCAAGGGCAAGACGCACAAGTCCGAGAAGTCGGGCGGGAAGTCTGGCAGGCACCAGAAGGGCAAGGACCCAAAGACCATTTCTAAGGGTCGTGATGGCGGCAAGCACGCCAAGGACCAGACGGAGTACTTCGACGGCGAGTGCGGCTACTGCGGCAAGTGGGGCCACAAGCGGGCAGACTGCAGGAAGAAGAAGGCAAATGACTCGACGAAGGAGCCAGGTCACACGCGCGCTGTTCAAGGTGACGCAGCTTCGTCATCAGCCCAGCAGCCAGCGGATGGCACGGTGAAGGCTGCGCCGGGCTACTTTGACGGCAAGCCCGATGGCTGGGTGTTCGCGGTCACGGCGCAGCCGAATGGCCGGGTGGCGAAGGTTGGCGGCTCCATCCTGATCGACAGCGGCAGCGACGACCATCTCTGCAGGCACAGATTTGTCCCAGAGGCTCCCATCAGCGCTGCGGTGGACGCGCCGAGGCTCTTCGACGTGCAGCAGCGGCCACTACAGACGGCAGGCCCGAGGGGAGTAGAGATGACCATGAAGGAGGGCATCGCGGCGACAGCGGACTTCCTCGTCGCCAACGTGAACGATGATCTGCTGAGCATGGGGAAGCTGCTCAGGCAGGGCCTCAGGTTCAACCTCAGCCTGGAGGACGGGCTCTACATGGTGAAGGGCCATCGCAGCGTGCAGCTCACGCTGGAACGGAACTGCCTCAGGCTCCCGATTGTCGCGGCGGGCCCCGCAGCTGAGGCTCGCCACTGCCGCGGCGCGGCAGAGCGGCAGGATGCGGCAGCGGCTCCTGTGCTCAACGCGGACAGCTCGGTCGGCGCGATGAGGGCCAGGCTGAGGGGGCTGTGCGTGCCCATCTACGGTGCCAAGGCGGAGCTTTGGGACAGGCTCACCGCGGCGGAGGCCGCGGTCAGGCGGCCGGAGGCCGAGAGGGCGCACAAGCAGGCAGTCAAGGAGCAGCTCGGGGTCCAGCACGACCCAGTCGATGCCAGGGAGCTACCCGTGCCGAAAGCTCCGATTGCTGAGGGGGAGAGGCAGCATCGCCTCACTCATTTGCCAACGGCGCCCTGGTGTGAGGAGTGCATCCGCGGTAAAGCGCCCGATGCTCCACGCGCGCACGCGCGCGGGTCACGCTCGAGGGCTCCGAGCGGAAGGCGCCGCTCATCAGCTTCGACTTTGGGTTCTGCAAGACGGCGGATGAGGATGGCGACCCGTCGAAGGTCGAGGACACCTACGCGACGATGCTCGTGGCATTCAGCTCGGACGCTGGAGTAGTGAAGTTCATCCCCTGCCCATCGAAGTCGGCATCGCCGTGCGCAATAGCGGGCATCGAGCAGTTCACGCGGCGGCTCGAGGCGGGCAAGTGCAGACTCAAGACCGACTCTGAGCCTGCATCGAAGGCGATTCTGGACGGGGCCGTCGCAGAGCTGACAGGCAAGGTAACCCCAGAGTTGACGCCCAAGCACAGCAGCCAGTCCAACCCAGCGGAGGCGGCCGTGAAGGTCGCTGAGGGCCAGGCGCGAGTCCTCAGGTTGGATCTCGAGAGGCGCTGCGGCACCAAGATCACGGCGGCCATGCCGATCTGGGCCTGGGTGATGCGTCATGCTGGGTGGCTACACGAGCGGTATCCACGACGAGCTGGAGGGCAGACTCCACGTGAGATAGCGGCGGGCACGCCCTACAACGGCGACATCTGCACCTTCGGCGAGACGGTGCTGCATCGGATAGCTCGACCGATGCATCGAGGACTCGGTGGAGGACGGCGACTGCGCCGCGGAGAGGCGCAGTGGAGCCGTGGGATCTGGGTTGGCAGATCTGACGAGTCCCAGGAGCATCTGCTGATGACTCCGCAAGGGGTCGATCGAGCTCGGACCGCGCGACGGCTACCTGGGGGCAGACAGACCGACAAGGACCTTCTGCTGTCGGCGACGGGCCTCCCGACAAGGACCGACGAGGACGGCGCCCGAGAGGTCGAGGCGACCACGGGCAGCCCAGCCCGCGGCGACAGAGATCCCGAGGGTGGATCAGCAGCAGCAGCAGCAGGCACCATCGCCAGCAGGGCCACCCGAAGGCCGAGCGGACCTTGCTCAGCCCCAAGCCCCACCGCAGGCTCAAGGCCCAGCGGTGGCGGTAGGACAGCCACAGCCACAGTCGCAGCCCCAGCAGCCAGCGCAGCCTGCGCCAGGAGACGTGGTCATGGGGGCGCCCCCGCCCCAGGCGGAGAGGCGCGGGCTGCCACCTGGGGCGGAGGCCTCAGAGGGCAAACGAGCGCGGGTTGCAGCGGCCCACGAGCTGGATGTCGGCAACATAGATGACTCGCCCGACGCGTTCTGGGAGGGGATCTCGGATGAGGTCGAGGACCCAACCGAGCACATGTTTGACGTGGGCGCTCAGGGCGAGCTGGACAAGAAGCTCGCGCTTGAGCACCTGCAGAGCCTCCTGGACCACGGCGTCGGCGAGGACATTCCCATGTCGGAGGCAGTGGGAATGAAGCACATCACCACCCGCTGGGAGAAGCAGTGGAGGTGGGGGCCTGCGCGACAGGAGTGGCAGCGCAAGGTGAGAGTCGTCTGCCGCGAGTTCCGCTGGCAGGAGTGGCGCGACGACCTGTTCACGCCAGGATCGGTTCCGATCTCCAACAGGCTCATCGACTTCGTGGCTCTCAAGCGCGGTTTCGAGGTGATGACGCTGGACGCGACGGACGCCTTCTACCAGGCGCCCGGTCACGAGGATGTGGTGGTCGACCCACCGCATCAGTATCTGGGCATGCTGCAGGCAGAGGGCAAGAGCACGGACATTCACTGGAAGCTGAAGAGGCAGTTGCTTGGCAGGCGCACGGCGGCGCCTGGCTGGGCGGAGCACATGGCGGGCACCCTCATGGACGAGATGCGCATGGCGAGGTGCGAGATGGTATCGCAGTTCTTCTACAACTCGGGGGCCGAGGTGGTGGTCGAGCTCCATATGGCCGACCTACACATGGCAGGGCCAAGGGGCGCGCTGAAGGGCTTCCGCGACGAGCTGGGCTAGCGCGTGACCTTCAGCGGCGGCGAGATCCACGAGTGCGGCACCACCTGCGAACACCTGAAGAGGTTGAGGGCGCGGTTCGAGCACGGGGCGGAGCTGAAGGCGAACCCGAAGTACCTGGACCACGTGGTGGAGACCCTCAACCTCGGGAGTGCGAGCACGGCGCCCGCGCCAGGAGTGCCAGCTCACAAGGCTTTCATGGGGAGCACTTCTGCCTTATCGTCTGCTCAGGCTGGCATTTGCCGATCGGGCGTGGGGGCGCTGATGTACTGCGCCCAGGACAGGGCGGACTGCCAGTATTAGGTGAGCCTGCTAGGAAGGATGCTGTCAGGTCCCACCGTCGGTGCCTTCACCGCACTCAAGAGGCTGGCCAGGTACTTGATGGGCACGAGGGACGCGGTGAACTGGCCTCCGAGTCCGACGGAGGGCTACGGCGACAGCGACTGGGCAAGCGACCTTCAGACGAGGAGGTCACAGTCGAGCGGCAAGATCGAGATCGACAACATCCCCACGCACTCCTTCAGCAGGCGCCAGGCGATCGTGGCGACTTGCTCGGGAGTGGCAGAGTACTACGCGGCGACGGCAGTCGCCGAGGATCTCCTTTACTTCAAGTCGCTCCTGGAGTTTATGGGATTCACGGTGGCGGCTGCTCTTCTGACGGACTCGTCGGCGGCCCGAGGCATTGCCAAACGCGAGGGAGTTGGCAAGGTCAGGAGCCTGGAGGCGCGCGTGTTGTGGCTCCAGCAGGCGATCAAGAGGAAGTTGATGGACCTTGGGACTGTCGGCACCGACGACAACGAGGCCGACCTGGGCACGAAGATCCTCGGGTACGAGCGCTTCGCCAAGCTCAGGACGATGAACGGCATTTACACAGACATGGGCCAGGTCGCGGAGAGCGACCACCAGTTGGAGGAGGTGGACTTCGACGTGGGGGCGGCGGCTCGGGTTCGGCGCGCCCCAGGCGTGGCCGCTTCGCCGAGTGCGACCCGCTCAGCGGCCTTGGCGATGATCACGGCGGCGGTAGCACTCCTTCAGGGGTGCGACGGACCCGCCGCCGAGTGCGACGGCTACTACGGCACGGAGGTCTGCCCTAAGGACGGCATGGTCGCGAGCGATTGGACGAGTTACTGGCTGGTGTTGGTCGTCAGGGCGCTGGTTGTGGCCATCGTCTTCGGCTACGCGGGGCTCCGCTACGCCAGCTGGGGGAAGCAGGAGTGGCTCCTCGTCCAGACCGAGCCCGACAACGCGAAGGACAATAATATCGACTCAGGCATTGGCTGCCTGCCATCCACATCGACCAAGTCGACGGTGGATCAGAGCAACCGCATGAGGAGGGCGGCTGGCACTCAATCGCAGACGACGCACAAGTGGAGGTGGGCTACTCCACGTTCCCAGCCATTGTCGATCAGCATGCACGGTGCTTTCCTTGAGGTGCACGCTGGGAGCGAGGCCAAGGCTAGAGGGCTCTTTTTGTAATGAGGCGGCCCAGGGTGAGGACCTTGAGCGGCTACGCTTGGCTGAGCTCACGTTTCATTTGTCATGCCTTACATCATTGATTTCCTCCTGACATGTTCAGGCCCGTTGTGGTAGAGCGCGCTGATGGCCATGCTTGTTTTGCCTGGGGGGGGGGCGCCCCAGCCTAGTTTTTTATATAAAAAAAGAGTCGGTTGGAAGCTCGACTCTTGACGCACGCCGAGCTTCCAAGGGGGCGCGCTGTGCATTGCATTTGCTGGGGCCGGAGACCCCCACGTGCAGGAGCTAGTTTCGCATGACAGGACAGGAGCTATGTTCGTAGGTCCTCTTGGCTCGCGGGGAACCAGTAACATCACCAATCCAGCTACAGTGTCTCTGCGTGTGTCTCTGTGTGTGTGTCTCTCTGTGTGTGTCTCAGTGTGTCTCTCAGTGTGTGTCTCTGTGTGTGTCTCTGTGTGTGTCTCTGTGTGTGTCTCTGTGTGTGTGTCTGTGTGTGTGTGTGTCTGTCTGTGTGTGTGTGTGTCTGTGTGTGTCTGTGTGTGTGTATGTCTGTGTGTGTGTGTCTCTGTGTGTGTGTGTGTCTCTGTGTGTGTCTCTGTGTGTGTCTCTGTGTGTGTCTCTGTGTGTGTCCCTGTGTGTGTCTCTGTGTGTGTGTGTGTGTGTGTCTGTGTGTCTCTGTGTGTGTGTGTCTCTGTGTGTGTGTGTCTCTGTGTGTGTCTCTGTGTGTGTCTCTGTGTGTGTCTCTGTGTGTGTCTGTGTGTGTGTCTGTGTGTGTGTGTGTGTGTGTCTCTGTGTGTGTCTCTGTGTGTGTGTCTCTGTGTGTGTCTCTGTGTGTGTCTCTGTGTGTGTCTCTGTGTGTGTCTCTGTGTGTGTGTGTGTGTGTGTGTGTTCTCTGTGTGTGTCTCTGTGTTGTGTCTGTGTGTGTCTGTTGTGTGTGTGTCGTGTGTGTCGGTGTGGTGTGTCTGTGTGTGTGCTCTGTGTGTGTGTGTTGTGTTCTGTGTGTGTGTGTGTATCGTGTGTGTCTGTGTGTGTGTGTGTGTCTGTGTGTGTGTGTGTGTGTGTGTCTGTGTGTGTGTGTCTGTGTGTGTCGTGTGTGTGTGTGTGTGTGTCTGTGTGTGTCTGTGTGTGTGTGTGTGTGTGTGTGTCTGTGTGTATGTGTGTGTGTCTGTGTGTGTTTGTGTGTGTGTCTGTGTGTGTGTGTCTGTGTGTGTCTGTGTGTGTGTGTCTGTGTGTGTCCGTGTGTGTGTGTGTGTGTGTCTGTGTGTGTCTCTGTGTGTGTCTGTCTGTGTGTCTGTGTGGGTGTGTGTGTGTGTGTGTGTCTGTGTGTGTGTGTCTGTGTTTCTGTGTGTCTGTGTGTCGGTGTGTCTGTGTGTCTGTGTGTAAGTGTGTCTGTGTGTCTGTGTGTCTGTGCGTCTGTGTATATGTGTGTAAGTGTGTCTGTGTGTCTGTGTGTCTGTGTGTCGCCTGTGTGTCTGTGTGTGTGTGTTTGTGTGTCTGTGTGTCGGTGTGTCTGTGTGTCTGTGTCTGTGTGTCTGTATGTCTGTGTGTCTGTGTGTTTGTGTGTCTGTGTCTGTGCGTCTGGGTGTCTGCGTGTCTGCGTGTCTGCGCGTGTCTGCGTGTGTGTCGTGTTGTGTCTTCTGTGTGTGTGTGTGTGTCGTCTGTGTGTCTGTGTGTCTGTGTGTCGTCTGTGTGTCGTCTGTGTGTCGTCTGTGTGTCGTCTGTGTGTCGTCTGTGTGTCGTCGTCTGTGTGTCTGTGTGTCGTCTGTGTGTCGTCTGTGTGTCGTCTGTGTGTCGTCTGTGTGTCGTCTGTGTGTCGTCTGTGTGTCGTCTGTGTGTCGTCTGTGTGTCGTCTGTGTGTCGTCTGTGTGTCGTCTGTGTGTCGTCTGTGTGTCGTCTGTGTGGCTGTGTGTGGCTGTGTGTGGCGGTGTGTGGCGGTGTGTGGCGGTGTGTGGCGGTGTGTGGCTGTGTGTGTCTGTGTGTGGCTGTGTGTGGCTGTGTGTGGCTGTGTGTGGTTGTGTGTCTCTGTGTGTGGCTGGGTGGGTGGGTGGCTGGGTGGGTGGCCGGGTGGGTGGCTGGGTGGGTGGCTGGGTGGTGTGCTGGGTGGCTGGGTGGTTGTGTGGCTGTGTGTCTGTGTGTCTGTGTGTCTGTGTGTCTGTGTGTGTATGTTTGTGTGTGTGTGTCTGTGTGTATGTGTGTGTGTTTGTGTGTGTGTTTGTGTGTGTGTCTCTGTGTTTGTGTGTCTGTGTGTGTGTCTGTGTGTGTCTGTGTGTGTCTGTGTGTGTGTCTGTGTGTGTCTTTGTGTGTGTGTGTGTCTCTGTGTGTGTGTATGTGTGTGTGTGTCTGTGTGTGTGTCTGTGTGTGTGTCGGTGTGTGTGTGTCTGTGTGTGTGTCTGTGTGTCTGTGTGGCTGTGTCTGTGTGTCGGTGTGTCTGTGTGTCTGTGTGTCTGTGCGTCTGTGTATCTATGTGTAAGTGTGTCTGTGTGTCTGTGTGTCTGTGTGTCTGTGTGTCTGTGTGTCTGTGTGTCTGTGTGTCTGTGTGTCTGTGTGTCTGTGTGTCTGTGTGTCTGGGTGCCTGCGTGTCTGCGTGTCTGCGTGTCTGCGTGTCTGTGTGTCTGTGTGTCTGTATGTCTGTGTGTCGTCTGTGTGTCGTCTGTGTGTCGCCTGTGTGTCGCCTGTGTGTGTCTGTGTGTCGTCTGTGTGTCGTCTGTGTGTCGTCTGTGTGTCGTCTGTGTGTCGTCTGTGTGTGTCGTCTGTGTGTCTGTGTGTCTGTGTGTCGTCTGTGTGTCGTCTGTGTGTCTGTGTGTCTGTGTGTCGTCTGTGTGTCGTCTGTGTGTCGTCTGTGTGTCGTCTGTGTGTCGTCTGTGTGTCGTCTGTGTGTCGTCTGTGTGTCGTCTGTGTGTCGTCTGTGTGTCGTCTGTGTGACTGTGTGTGGCTGTGTGTGGCTGTGTGTGGCTGTGTGTGGCTGTGTGTGGCGGTGTGTGGCGGTGTGTGGCTGTGTGTGGCTGTGTGTGGCTGTGTGTGGCTGTGTGTGGCTGTGTGTGGCTGTGTGTGGCTGTGTGTGGCTGTGTGTCTGTGTGTGTGGCTGGGGTGGTGGGTGGGTGGCTGGGTGGCTGGGTGGGTGGCTGGGTGGGTGGCTGGGTGGTTGGCTGGGTGGCTGGGTGGTTGTGTGGCTGTGTGTCTGTGTGTCTGTGTATCTGTGTGTCTGTGTCTCTGTGTCTCTGTGTCTCTGTCTCTGTGTCTCTGTGTGTCTCTGTGTGTCTCTGTGTGTCTCTGTGCGTCTCTTTGTGTCAGTGTGTGTCTCTGTGTGTCTCTGTGTGTCTCTGTGTGTCTCTCTGTGTGTCTCTGTGTGTCTCTGTGTCTCTCTGTGTCTCTCTGTGTCTCTCTGTGCCTCTCTGTGCCTCCCTGTGGCTGTCTCTCTTCGTCTGTCTCTCTGTGCCTGTCTCTCTGTGTCTCTCTCTCTCGGTGTCTCTCTCTCTTGGTGTCTCTCTCTGTGTCTCTCTCTGTGTCTCTCTCTGTGTCTCTCTCTCTCTCTGTGTCTCTCTGTTTGTCTCTGTGTGTGTCTCTCTGTTTGTCTCTCTGTGTGTCTCTCTGTGTGTCTCTCTGCGTGTCTCTCTGTGTGTCTCTCTGTGTGCCTCTCTTTGTGTCTCCCTGTGTATCTCTCTGTGTGCCCGTCTGCGTGTGTGTCTGTGTGTGTGTCTGTGTGTGTCTGTGTGTGTGTCTGTCTGTGTGTCTGTCTGTGTGTCTGTCTGTGTGTCTGTCTGTGTGTCTGTCTGCGTGTCTGCCTGTGTGTCTGTCTGTGTGTCTGTCTGTGTGTCTGTCTGTGTGTCTGTCTGTGTGTCTGTCTGTGTGTCTGTGTGTGTGTGTGTCTGTCTGTGTGTCTGTCTGTGTGTCTGTCTGTGTGTGTCGGTGTGTGTGTGTGTGTCTGTCTGTCTGTCTGTCTGTGTGTGTCTGTGTGTGTGTCTGTCTGTGTGTGTCTGTGTGTGTCTGTATGTGTGCGTGTCTGTGTGTGTGTGTGTCTGTGTGTGTCTGTATGTGTGTCTGTGTGTGTGTCTGTGTGTGTCAGTGTGTGTGTGTGTGTGT